CCTCTGCGCCCATTCGACCTTGGCCCAGCCCGGGACAGCCTGGGACAGCCTGTGCCGCAGCCTCTGTCCTGCGCGTCCGGGGAGGCCCAGGATGGAGCAGGCAAGGAGGGGCTGCGGTCCCTCGGAAGCCCCCGCGGAGCTGCAGCGCCTGGCCCCAGGTCCTCTGTGAGCCAGACCCTGCGCAGTGTCTGCCTCACGGGCACCAGCCCTGCCATGGGGTCCCCGGAGGACGCGGACGGGCTGGCCAGCCCCAGCTCTGTGGGGTGGGGCTGCTGTGGGCGTGCGACCGCCAGGTCTGCCTCCGCCCGCCTCCTGCAGGGGGACGGAGCCTTCCCACTTCACTTCACCCTCCGCAGACCTGCACCCATGCTCGCCCCATGGTGGGCAGCAGGGCCCAGAGGCCAGGAGCCGGGCCCAGGCCCGTGTCCCCTGCGGGCAAGCCCCTGTGTGACCCACAGGGGCGGCCCTGGCTGAGGTGCCCTCTCCCCAGCCCTGGGCAAGTGACCATGTGGCTCCGTCAGCCGGGGCTGAGGTCAAGGGCCCCGGGGTCGAGGGCAGGGACAGTGCATCCCACTGTAGGCTCGGGGGGCTGTGAGGGAGAGCTTCGCAGGCAGGAGGGCACCTGGCCCCCTGGGCGGGACCTTGACCCGGGCGGGACGGGCGTCCAGCCCCAGCGGCCGTGCCAGCCGTCCTGCATGAGCAGCGCCCATCTGAAAGGCTAATGTGTGCTAATGAGCTCGGCCGCGATCCGCGCCCCCCCTGGCCGCAGAAATTCCTCTCTGTGGAAACTTTCCTCTGCTGGAGCTGCTGGCCGGGAGGCGCCCACACGCTTGTCCTTCCGGGACCCCTGGGCTGCCGCCTCTGGGTGCGGGCAGCCTCCGTGAAAGGCCAGCTCCTCCCAGTGTCCTGAGCGGCCTCGGGACTGGCCTGCGTGAGCCCCCTGCAAAGAGCACCCACAGGGGACCCTGTGTAGCGTGAGTGCACCCTGGGGTGGCCCCAGCCGGGCCCCCGTGGACCGTGCTGCTTGGTCTGCGGGGGACACAGCCTAGCTGGGCATGGATGTGGCAGGGCTGAGCTGCCCAGCGCTGAACACCTCAGGGAGGCCTCCCAGGCCCCCATGGCCCTGCCTGCGCTCAGTTGTCTCTGGCCCAGGCTTCGCGCTGAGGCCACCAGTTCTGCGTGGAACTGGAGGCTGACGGCAGCTTCCACCTTTGCCCGCCCTTAGAGTGTGGGTGGCACGGCGACTGTGTGGATGGCTGGCGGCCAGCCCCGCGGTGAGCAGGGCTGCGCGTCCCCCCCAGGGCAGCCGTTCTCAGAGAGACCTGCTGGAGCTGCTGCCAGGAGCCAGCATGTTGGCGAAGCCATGTGCACCCTGGACCAGGGCTCAGCCGAGCCCCCAGGCCCCTCCCCACAGTGCTGAGTGACCGCCCCTCTCCAGGAGCGGAGGCTCCCTGACCCCCGGGGTGCCGGCTGCAAGGCCCGAGAGCCTCCCAGGTCCTCCGGACACTTGGCCTGCCCCTATCAGCCCGAGACAAAGCTGCCCCGCCCGCCGGCCATTGTCCTGCCTTCTAGCCGTGTTTGCTCTGGACCCGGCTGACCCCGTTGACCAGGCAGGCCAGGAGAGCGCGGGTCCAGGGCTGGCAGGCCCTGCCCACTCCAGCAGCCAGGATGGCCTCCGCCAGCTCATTCTCACACAGCCAGGGCCCCCAAGGGGCCCCCGTCAGCCCACGGCTATGGGTAGGGGTGCCGGCTGAGGTGGGGGGCGGGCTCTGCAGGCTGCCCACAGCCCTGGTCACCTCCGTGCTCCACAAAGACCGCCCCTGGGGGCTCCGAGCTCCACCCCATGTTGGTGTCCAGCAGAGGTGCCCGGGCCCAGCTCTGGCGGGAGCAGAGGGCGAGGTGCGTGAACAGGTGCAGAAGGTCAAGTCCTTTCTCCTGAGGCAGAGCGAGGGGCTGGGGCCCAGCTCCTGCCTGGGCAGCCACAGCCGGAAGGGGCTGAGCGGGGGGGCACTCAGCCGGGGCCCCGCTGGTCCCCACACCTGGGGATGTGAGGTCCTGGGGAGGGCTTAAGCACCTCTTGCTGAAAGGGTCTCCCAGAGGGTGTCCAGGAGGGAGCCCAGGAGCAAGCCCCCAGGTAACAGGTAAACGCAGAGACTCAGGGGCCTGGTCAGCAGACCCAGCCACGTGGGGGACACAGCAGAGTCCCCGGGGCCTTCGGGGTGGGGCTGGGCTCCAAGAGCAGCCCTGATCGTCACTGGGGTGTGACCAAGGAAGGTGAATTCGGTGGGGACAGTGGCTTGGGGTGCAGCAGGGCCGGGAGCCGGCCAGCAGGGGGCCTGGGCAAGGACTGTGCCCTCCCCCAGGGTCCACTTCCCAGTGTGGACCACAGGGGCATCTGGCCAAGCAGATGCCTGGTAGGGGGTGGGGAGCGAGGGAACAGGTGCCCTCCTCACAACAGGGTCTGAAAGGCGGGCAAGGCCCTGGGGTGGGGTGGGGGTCAGGGGTGGGGCCCTGGGGGCAGGGCGACCCGGCCCTGGGAGTGGACAGGCCCTGGGGGCGGGGTGATGGGGGCCTGGGGCTGGGCTGGCAGGCCTGTGGGCTGGGAGGCCCCGCCTTGGGCCCCGGCTGGCAGAGGACCATCCAGCTGTGCCTGCACATCTGCAGGCGGCTCAGTGCTGTGCAGCAGTTCCGATCGGCTTCTAGAAAGCGTGTCGCTGTGCGTGGAAATGGGATGGGCTGGGAAGCCCGGCTGTGGCCGCCCTCGAGACCCCGCACTAGCGGACAGCCGTCGCCCATGGGAGTCCCTCTGACCGCTGCTGTGCCCCTTCTCTGGTTCGTGCTCTTTCATTTCTGTCCAGCCTATGCGTTGCCCACCCACAGCCTGGGGGCCTCAGGGACAGCCCTGCCGTCTCCTCTTTGCCCTGCTGTGTGCAGCCCCCACTGCCTGCAGCCCCCGCTGGCTGCGGCCCTGCTGCCTCTGACAGGACTATACTCCCCGCCAGCCCAGCTCTCTGCACCCCCAACGGCAGCCCGAGCTTCCCCGGCAGAGCTGAGGGATGCTGGGGCTGCAAGTGTTTCCGATTCTGCTGACAGAGGTGGGTCTGTGTGGACCAGGGATCGCTGGTCACTGTCAGGAAAGCCCCTGAGCATCCCGAGCATGTGCTGCCCACCTCAGCACAAGGCCGCCCGGTGGGAGGGGCAGAGCTCAGGAGGCCCCTCTGGATCCCTTGCCTGCCAGGCCACGAGGCCTAGGACCTTTGTGGGGGAGACGCTCTGGGACCCAGTAGGATTGGGAGTCCCTGTCACAGAGGCCCCGGTTCCCCCAGGGCAGGGGAGGGCAGGCGGGGGTGCATGGGAGGCATAGGTCAGGGCCTGGGGCAAGACCAGCATGGCCGGTGGCAATGCTGTGGGTCCTGCAGTGGCAGAGAGGTGCCCTGGCCCCCAAAATCCTGACTGCTGGCCACTGTCCCCCCCACGCAGCCCTGGCACCGCTCACTCAGCTCCTAGGCCCTGCCGTGCCCCGCCCCAGCCCACCACAGAGCCGTGTGAGAGCCGGGCGTCCAGCCTCTGGCGGGCCAGCCTCAGACAGGGCCCAGGCCCAGGGGGTGAGGTCCCCGGCCCTGCCCAGCACCTTGGGCTCCTGGGACCCAGGCAGCTCCGAGGGCCTCCCTCTCGAGGTCCAGCATGAGGTGAGGGGCTGCTGGCTACGGGGAGGGGTGCAGGGGCCTGCTGGGGGGCAGTCCTCTTCGTGAGGCACTCCTGCATGGCCACCCCACAGCAGCACCCAGGAGCAGGCACCTCTGGGAGGGAGCGGGGAGCAGCAGGGAGAGGAGCTGGGCAGCGCCCTAGCCCAGGAAAGCCAGCGAGGAGGTGCTGGAGGGGCTTGGGGGGGGGGGGCCAGTGAGGTCACTCGTGGGGCAGGGCCCGGTGTGGGCAGGGGAGCCTGGGGGAGGCCGAGGGGCAGTCCCCCTCCGCAGGGCTCAGCGGGGGGCCTGGAGGCCATGGGCAGTGGTGGCCAGGGCTGGACGGCCTCTGCAGTTGGGTGTGTCAGACGGGTCTGCTGAGCCTGGAGACGCGGGGCTGAAGCAGTGAGGGCGCTGCCGGCCTGGCGTCTTCTGGGAGCTGCCCCAGAGCTGGTCCCCGGCGACGGGGAGGAAGTGGGCCGGGGTCAGCCCTGCACCGCTGGCCGGAGAGGGCTGGGCAGAGGCCGTGCGCGGAGCCTCCCGGCTGGAGTGGACACTGCGGTCTGGCCACGCCGCTGAGCAGACCCCTGGGCGCCGGCGCCAGGGCCCCGCCGGGACAGGAGAGGGGCCAGCAGGCGGGAAGGCGGGAGGCCGGGCTCCCCGACAGGCTGTCGGTCCAGTTAGGAGACGCAGGTTCCGGTGGGAAAGAGCAAAGGTTCGGGTTCTTGGTCTGGCCGCCTTCCCGGCCCAGGCCCCCGGGCCGAAGCCCCCTCGTGCTGGACAAGGAGCCCTTGGGCTGCTGCCCACAGCTGTCCCGCGGCCGAGAGCGGAGCGAGGGGCGCGGCGCGGGCCGGGCAGGGGGCGCGGGGGGCGCGGGGCGGCGCGGGGGGGCGTGGGCCTGGCGGGCCGGGGAGGGCGCGGGGGGGACGCGGGCTCGGGCGGGGCGCAGGGGGCGCGGGCCGGGAGGGGCGCGGGGGCGCGGGCCGGACGGGGCGCGGGGGCGCGGGGGCGCGGGCGCGGGGGCGCGGCGGGCGGCGGGGCGCGGGGCGCGGGCCGGGCGGGCCGGGCGGGGCGCGGGCCGGGCGCGCGGGTGGGCGGGCGGGGGCGTGCCGGGAGCGTGCGGCGGTGCCGGCTCCTCGCGTGCGCGCGGCGGGGGCGGGCAGGCCCCGCCCCGGGGCCGCGCGATTAAAGGCCACCGGGCGGGCGGGGTCCGGGACAGCAGCCCGCACCCGAGCTCGCTCCGCTCCAGCTGCCCGCGCCGTCCGCGGCCCCGCGCCGGCCTCCCGGGACATGCGCGCGGCGGCCGGGTGCTGAGCGATGTCGGGGCGCGGGGCGCGGGGCCCGGGCCGGGGCTGCCGCCGGCGCTGCTGCTGCTGCTGGCGCTGGGCGCGCTGCCGCGGGCGCGGGCCGTCGAGGAGGCGCCCGGCGGCGCGCACGGCCCGAGCCAGGGCTTCCAGGTGGTCACCTTCAAGTGGCACCACGTCCAGGACCCGTACATCATCGCGCTCTGGATCCTCGTGGCCAGCCTGGCCAAGATCGGTAGGCGCGGGGCGCGGGGCGCGGGGCGCGGGGCGCGGGCGCGGGCGCGGGGCGCGGGGCGCGGGCGGCGCGGGGCGCGGGCGCGGGGCGCGGGGCGTGGGGCGCGGGGCGCGGGGCGCGGGGCGCGGGCGCGGGCGCGGCAGCCTGGGGCGCGCCCTCCTCGGGTCCGCGCCGGTCCGCGGTCTTGGGGGGCGGGGGCGCATCTGCGTCCGCGGCCCCGGGGGGCAGGGCCAGCGCCCGGCGGGGCACAGGGTCGGGCGGCGCACGGTCCAGGGCCGCGAGCCCGGCCGGGCCCGGAGCGACCCCGCGGGCCCCGCCGCCTCCGAAGCCCCCGCCCGGCTCCGAGGTCGGGTCTCTGGGCGCCGCGGACCCGCGACGCGCTGCCTCGGGCGGGGGCCGCAGGGAGGACACGGCCGCGCCCCGGGCAGTTGTTCCGGTCGCCAAGGGAAAGGGGGCGCCCACGACCGAGCCGCGGCGCGGGAGGCCGGGCCAGGGCTCCCCGCAGCCCCCAGGGAGGGGCGCGGGGCGCGGCGCGCGGGGCGCGGGTCGGGCCGCAAGGTGAGAGGAAGGTCAGCCTGACCCGTCGGAGCCCCGCGCCGGCCGCCCGGGGAGGGTCTTTGCGGGGCGGGGCTGTGGCCGCACGTGACCCGCTGGGTGGGGCCGGCCCGGGCCATGGGGGGCAGCAAGGGGAGGGGCGAGGCCAGAGGACGGGCCCCTGATGTCCTGAGCGGGACAGAAGGGAAAGGCGCTGGGCGAGCCAGGGAGGGGACTTTGGCCCCGCCGGTTTGGGGTACCTGGAGTGCTGGGCAGCCTGACCCTGCCGCCCCCCTGGGGCTGCCCTTCGGGCCACAGCCCCTCCCTCCCTGCCCTCCCCCGGGGCCTGCTTGGCCCTTGGCCTCCTGCCAGTGGCCATACTCAGTCTGTCCCCCGGCCTTTGGGGGCTGCGATGAGGCCAGCGCGGACGGGGTCTCATGTCAGTGGGCAGGGCCCGCACTGGCCCCCAGTCCCTTCCCCAGCAGGCGAACCCGCCCGGAACCTGCCCCCCAGGGTCCCCTCTGCCACCTTCTCTCCCCCCGAACCTGCCGCGTGGTGCCCTGTGCAGGCTGGACTCCGGGGGTCCAGCTGGACTGACGCCTGGCGTCCGAAAGTCCAGCAGCGCTAGGGGCCAGCCGGGCGGGAGCGAGTACTCGCCTCTTCCCGACCTCCTTCTCACGGGGACAGCGGCAGCCCCTCGGGCCTGGGACTGTCCTGTTCTCGGGAGGCACCCCCGGCCGGCGCCTGCCTGCTCCCCACAGTGGTCCGGGCCACCCCCTGGCCCGGCCTGGGCCCACCCTTCACTCCTGTCCCCGGATCCACCTGGCTGACTCTGTGGGGCCCAAGCCCTCCGGCTGCTCAGCAAGGTCCTCACGTGCCGCCCAGGGTCCCCCCACAGCCCTGTGCTCACCCGCCACCCCTTGACCCTGCTCCAGCCACCCCCCCCCCCCGCCTAAGCCCCTCCCCCTGCCCACGCACGGCCCCCACACTCAACACCCCAGGCTCCCTGAAAGTGGGTCTGGCCATCAAGTCCTCTCCGTGGACACGTCCCCACCCCTCAGATGGCCCCTGCTCCGCCCCCCAGTCTCAAAAACAAACAAACAACAACAAAAAAAGCCAAGGAGCTCGGCCACCTGCAGCGAATAGCCCAGCCGGCCTGGCAGGGCTGGTGCCCCCAGGGTCCCGCTGCTTGCCCACTGCCCTGCCCACCCGCACCCCTCACCCACTGTCAGGGCCCCCAGGACCGGCCCCCTCTCCCCGCAGCTGCACAGCCCAGGTCACACAGGGCGGGGGGCCAAAGCTGGGGAGGAGGGCACTGCCAGGCCCTGAGCGGGTCCACCCGGAGGCTGTGGGGCCCCTCCCAGGGCTGGAACCGGCCCGTGTAGATGCAGTCAGTCTCGGGTTACTGGGGACAGAGCTGCCTCCTGGGGTTCCCACGCCTGCTGCCTCACCCCCGTGGCGCGCGCTGGCCAGCGCCTGGAGGAGGCAGGTCTCCCGGCCCTGCGATCGGCTGGGAAATAGAGGCAGATGCCCGGAAATAAGGTGACGGCTGCCCAGGTGTCGGGGGCTCAGTGCAGGCCCCCTGGGCAGACGCCGGCTCCGGCCTGCTTGGGCAGGAGAGGGGCAGGCATGACTGTTGGCACGGACTGGCCACATGCTCCTCGGGTGGTCTAGGGGTCCCCTGCCTGTTACTGCACCTTTAGGACATTCAGGGGTCCCTGTGGGGCCAGCCAGCTCCCTGTCCCCAGCTCAAGGACTGACCCTGCAGCCTGTGGGGCCCTTCTCGGGCCATCTGGACCCTGGGGTGCTGAGCCCCGCACCTGCCCACACCCTGGGGAGCTCCCTCCTGGAGGCCGCCCCAGACAGCGGGGCATGGAGGGCCTCAGCCCTGAGCGGGGAGGCTGCTGGAGGGAGGAGAGGGGTTGCCCCCTGGTGTCGCTGCCCAGGCAGAGTAGATGGAGGCGCAGGCAGAGTGGGCTGGACGGGGTGTGGGGGCATCCCTGCCAGCCCCCGGCTTGGGGACGGCTCTGGCAGCCTAGCCGCTGTGTGGGGGTGGGGGCAGGGTGCAGCAGCTGGCCCCATGGGCTGGCAGTGGGGTCCCGCGTGGGCCTCAGTCCCGTGCTGCCACCTCCACGACCCTCTCTGCCCCTTGGGGGGCCGCTGTCCCCCGCACTGCAGGGACACCCAGGCCTCATCCCGGGCTGACCTGCCGGGTCCAGGGGACGCCCCCATGCAGCTCCCCACTCCCAGTCCCTGGCCCCAGTGTCAGGGTGCAAGCTCCTGCGCCAGGGCAGCGTCCCTCCTCGTGGGCCTGGGAGGAGGAGGCCCGGGGGCCCAGCAGAGGGCTCTGGGGTCTCCTGCCCTTGCTGTCCCGCCCTCCCCACCCTCTCCTGTAGCCCCCGCAAGTGGGGGACCTTGGCCACCACACGCACCCTCTGTGGTTCCCTGAGGGCCTGGTGAGTCTCTCTGGGCAGGTGTCTGGGGCTTGACCCCAGGGTGGAAACCAGCCCCGGGGCTCCCCACTGCTGTGCTGCCTTTCCTGGGCCCTCTGCCGCTCCCACCCATCCCCGCGCCCCCAAAGGAGCCCGTGGGCGAGAGGCTGTGGGGCCGAGGTGGCCCGGGAGGCCGGGACAGGGGCCGGAGCCGGGGCTTCCAGGAGCGTGGCCTGCCGGAGGCGGCAGGACAGGTGGGGCCTCCCCAGCCAGGCTCTGCCAAGGCTGAAGGAGTAAAGTCTCATTTTTCAGGAACTGCCTGGAGGAGCCGCGGCTGTAAAACAGGCCCCGGGCACCCCGCTCGCCATCCGAGGAAGGGGGGCAAAGGTTGGGAGCCCGCAGCCCTCTGCTCCCGGCCCACCTCGCGCTCCGCAGCCACTTCCCTGCACACCCGCCCGCCGCAGCCCTGCGCCCGGTCTCCTGCGCCCAGTGTCCTGAGCCCCTCCTGGCTGTGGGCTCCCAGGCCGAAGAGTGGGGTGCCTTGAGAGTTAGGGTGCACCTCCTTCAGTGTCTGGCGTCCCACCCCTTGAGCTGTGGGGGCTGCGGGGAGTGTGGGGGGCTGCGCCCCACACTCAGGGCTGCCCCAGGCCAGCTCTTTTTGTTGTTCCTCTGTACGGGGTGTGGGGGTTCCCCAGGCTGCTGAGCCTCCAGGGCGGGGCCCTGGGCAGACGGTCTGAGTGTCCCCATTCAGTCACCGCTGCCCACCCCCACCCGCCCACCCCGCCTGGCCTACCCCCCACCCCTTCCCTCTCCCCTGCCCCCTCCCCCCTCCCCCCACCCCTTCCCTCTCCCCGCGCCCTCCCCCCAGGCTTCCTCCTCCCCTCACTCACTGCTCTTCCCTTTGCTGGGCACCCCTCACTGTGGGGGGCCCCTGGCCCTGTGCTGGGGTGCAGGCTGGGGCTGGGGGAGCAGGGAGCCCAGGACCAGGGCCCCTACATGCAGGCCCGGATTCCACTCCCCAGCCCCACCCCCACCTCTCCTGCCTCCCCCCACAGCTCCGGACCCTCCAGCCAGCCCGTGGCCCCCAGGTGCCAGGCCAGTGGCTTGGCTGTCCCCTTGTTCCCGGGGTCCCCTGCCTGGCCCTGCGCCCCAGGAAGCTCCTGAGCTCTGGGCTCAGCTCAGACAGAGGACAAGGGGGGAGTGAGGGGAACCAGGGGTGAGGGGGTGAGGGGGGTGAGGAGGGGAGTGAGGAGGGGTGTGGAGTGAGGGGGAGTGAGGGGGAGCCAGGAGGAGTGAGGAGGGGTGAGGGGGGTGAGGAGGGGTGTGGAGGGGTGGGGGTGAGGAGTGAGGGGGAGCCAAGAGGAGTGAAGAGGGGTGAGGAGGGGTGCGGAGTGGCGAGGAGGAGTGAGGAGGGGTGGGGGTGAGGGGGGTGAGGAATGAGGGGAGCCAGGAGGAGTGAGGAGGGGTGAGGAGGAGTGAGGAGGGGTGAGGAGGGGCGAGGAGGGGCGAGGAGGGGTGAGGGGGGTAAGGAAGGGTGAGGGGGTGAGGAGTGAGGGGGAGCCAGGAGGGGTGAGGAAGGGTGAGGAGGGGTGAGGGGTGAGGGTGAGGAGGGGAGGGGGTGAGGAGTGAGGGGGAGCCAGGAGGAGTGAGGAGGGGTGAGGAGGGGTGAGAAGGGGTGGGGGTGAGGGGGGTGAGGAATGAGGGGAGCCAGGAGGAGTGAGGAGGGGTGAGGAGGGGTGAGGAGGGGTGAGGAGGGGTGGGGGTGAGGGGGGTGAGGAGTGAGGGGGAGCCAGGAGGAGTGAGGAGGGGTGAGGAGGGGCGAGGAGTGGTGAAGGGGTGAGGGGGTAAGGAGGGGTGAGGAGGTGAGGGGGTGAGGAGTGAGGAGGGGTGAGGAGGGGCAAGGAGGGGTGAGGGGATGAGGGGGTAAGGAGGGGTGAGGGGTGAGGAGTGAGGGGGAGCCAGGAGGGGTGAGGAAGGGTGAGGAAGGGTGAGGGGGTGAGGGGTGAGGAGGGGTGATGGGGTGAGGGAGGAGGG